CCATTTGATTGACATTTGTTTGGGATCTGATCGGCGACTGAGAATCGATAGTACTTTCATTCAAAGCGTTTCGTTTATTTTGATCATTAAATTGCGAACGCATTGAAAGGCTAGACTTGTTGTCGACCCCACTCTTGGAACCACTTTTACTGAACTCATCTTCACTTCGCTCATCATTTTTGTCTTTACTTTTCCTTAAGAGTGAACACAAGAGGAATGCAAACAAGAAAACCACTATTAATGCTAATATTATGGCTAAAATGGTCCAAAATAGAGGCGATCCGTCGTCTTCGGTCGGATCCGCTGCAACACTCGCCGTTTCTTCAGTGGTTTGACTCAATTCAGTTGTTATCGCTATAGGAATGGATATATTGACTGGAGTTGTGTTGATTGATGCGGTCGTAGACACTGAACACTGATTTAAGTTTTGTTAATTTCTACTTTAAAATACTGATAAAACTTACAATTTGTTGAATAATATCCACTAATGGTATGTTTGGCGGAGTTTTAGTGTGATTTTCAACCCTTATTTGTCCGTTCTATACATTCAAAGCAATTATTTACTAATATTTGAATAGTTTTACAAAATGATGATTACATTGGTTTGAATCAAATCGATGTCATAAGTACTGAACCCTTTTGGGCCAAAACAGATAATTTGCGTATCGTTTTCAATAAAACAGGAATCAAAGTCTTCATACGGTTTAAGAACTTGAGTAATTTTAAAATTGCGATCATGGTTATATCGATACTTTTTAGTACAAGTCTGGGGCCCTATAATCGCGTGATAAGTATTTGGCTGAACCGGTGCTCCACTCACAGGCATTTGGATGAGGAATAAGGTTCGCCTTTTGTGCCAAAACATGGTAAATGTGAAGGGATAGTGATTCATATAGGGGTCGTTAGACAGGTATTCGGGCAGATATATGATCGGCGGTGTTGTCCACACTGTATTGGGAGTCCAGTTAATCAGATTCAAGAATGTATGCCATTCCCAGATCTGGTTTTGTGCGTTTTGTGTCACCTTTTGAATAAATTTTATGGCAATTTATGAAAATATTAATTTCTAAATTATTGATTGAAAGCATACGTTATAAGCCATAAGTCTGTAGTCGTTTGGATCGCAACTTCTATTGTCGAAAAGCAATATTCCGTTTATAGTTTGAAATTCCGGAGGAATAGGAATGGGTTTATTGGGAACAGTCTTCTGATTGTATTCATCGTTTGTTATGATATAAGCCTTTCCGTCGGCTATCAGTGCGTAAGAAAGACCTATACTTTGGTCCAAAGGCTGTATTAATTGAAATTTAGGACAATTTGACGTCCAATTCGTCGATATCTCAGACACAAGAATACAGACTATTATGACAAACAAATTGCTGGAAATTGAATACATTTTATTAAATACAAGAACTATGAACTAAATTAGTTAAGTATTGAATTAGACTGTTATACTGTTGCAGTGATTCAAACTTATTGTAAATACTTCACGCATTATTACAAATGGTTAAATTGTTGATTGAAATGCATGTATTGTTGTCTAAATAAATGTAATGTTTTCCAAATTAATATTTTTAATTGTATTTCAAACCCAATATATCATAACCGGACATAACATGCTATAAATAGTATAAAGTTTACAAACTAAACAATTTGGTGGTTACAATTAATGATCATGGTCAGGTCATTTCATATTAAATACAATTTGTAATAAATATGACAATACATGATTATTTTTTGTATTAATACTTTTTGTGTGTAAATCATATAAATTTAATAATAAAGTTATAAAATTCAATATTTAAGACAATTCTTGGTTTTAATGTTTAAATTTGGCGCAAATTCTGTTAATTTTAATACAAAACAATTTTAGAGAATAAATAATGTTTTGTAAAACACAAGAATTCTGAATGAAATTCAATGAATTGGTGTTTGAAATGAAAGACAAAAACAAAACATTATTAATGTATTGAATATTTAGCGCCAAATAAACCAAACATTGATTTCGCAAATCATATGTCTTTGAGATTCACTGAAAGACTGTGTCTTTCAATATCATTATCTCTCGTGTGAGTCATCAATACATCCATTGTTTGCATCCAATGATTGCGTTCTTCGTTTGAAACTCACTTTCACCACTCAATCACTTTGGGATCAATGAAAACAATGGCGAAAAGAGGAGCACTAGTGGTGTTGGAAGGCGTGGATAGAGTGGGAAAGTCTACACAAGCGCTCAGACTCTCGGAAGCGCTGAAGACTATGTCATGTCCGACACATTTGGTCCGATTCCCCAACCGATTGACACCAATCGGGCAAATGATTAGCCAATACTTGAAGGGCGGACAACAACTGGACGATCGGGTGATTCACCTCTTGTTTTCGGCCAATCGGTGGGAAATGAGGGAACAGTTGGAACAGCTGTTGTCGAGCGGGACGTCAGTGATCGCCGACCGATACGTGTATTCGGGTGTCGCGTATTCGGCGGCCAAACCGTCGCTAGACTTGGAGTGGTGTCGACTCGCGGATAGAGGTCTCCCGAAACCCGATTCTGTCCTCTATTTGACGGCTTCTGAGGACTCGATCGCCGCCAGAGAGGGCTTCGGAGACGAAAGGTATGAAACGAAAGCATTTCAACAAAAGGTGCGAAACAATTACGAGAAACTCAAAGAAGACTATTGGGAGGTATTGTCCACTCATTTCTACCATTCATTTCAGTTGACATTCATTTGTTGATCGCTTTTATAATGAATAGACAATCAGTGCCGACAAGTCTGAGGACGAGTTACACAAAGAACTCTTGGATTCTGTGCTGAAGACCATTGAGAGAGTGAAGAATTCCGACGACAACACAATTCATAAGCTATGGCTCGACTCATAGTCTATAAAATTTACACAATTTTCA